TGGGTTTTTGGATGGGGGGGGGGGGGGGGGGAGTCCAAAAATGACAATTTTACGAAGATGACATTTATGAAAATGCAAAGTCAAAAGTTGACATGGAGTGCAATTTTCACGTATTTAAAAATAACAAGTTTCCTGGTTTGCATAGTCAAGCATTAATCATTCCATGTAGTTGTTGATGATTTGGAAGCCCTCCTTTATAGTCAACATATTTAACTATAATGGATATGTTTGACACAAATTTAAATCTTTTTTTTTTTAAATCAAAGTCAAATAGTTAATTTTGATCACATATTTTATAGATCTCACAATTTTTTAACCATATATTTCAAAATTTTTTTATCAAAATATATTAAAATTCTAATTTTAATTCCCACCAATCAGTTCTATATATACTCCACTATCATTTTTTGATATATATTCCTAAATTCAATCCTTTTTCTTCAAACAGTCACAATTTCATAATGTCTTGGGAGGATGAAATAAGGGCTAAGGCGCACCCTGTCTATATCTTTTACAAATTGTGCTGCTTGATATTTTCCTTCCTCCTTCCTCTTTTGATCATATGTATCGTAGTAAAGACCAGTGAAGCAAGGGACGCCCAGTTGCTCAGTAAAGAACTTCTATGTTTCCGCTCTCAACAAATTGGATAATTCCAACGCCATTAGTAGCAACAACTTTATCTTCTTTGACCTCCAACTCGAAAATGGGTTGGAAGCACTGGCGGATCCAGCACCCAGCGAGCCCCCACGGCCGCGCGTGGTTGTCCGACAGGAGCCTTTTTTTTGGCTGAGAATAGACAAATATATAGTATATATTACTGGTAAGTCATTTTTCTTCCAGCTGTTCCTTCTAGCCAAATTGGTTAGCGCTTGCATGTTCTTCTTTGATGTCCCAGGTTTGAATCTATTCACCAATTTATTTTATAAATTTTTAGTTATACAATTTTTACCAAAAATCATTGAAATAAGGAAAAGGCCAGTAGGGAATCGAACCTGTAAGCTATTCTAAGATATAATGAAAGTTTGACCATTATGACACTTGATGAGTTGTGTACAAAGTTTAGCAAAATAATATATGTAAGATTTTAGTGGTTTTTATGCAAGTGTAAAAATTTTAACACCATGCTCTTCCTTTGAATTACACAAAGTAATAATGTTATTTGGTGAGTACGATTTATTCTTATAACAAAATTATATATGTTCAACTTCAACAAAATAATTATTTTATTTAAATTTTAAGCCTTGTTTGATTCACATTTAGTTCAGAATTCATTTTTCTTTCCTTTATTTTCGATCAAACATTCTTTAATAAAATAATATTACACGTAAATTCGAACCTTTTTATTATTTTTAACTACACATTCTCCATTAAATCACTATTTCAAAATACATATTTTTGCAAAAAATGACATCAAACGAGCCACTAATATTTTATTACGTTCGCCCGTGCTGGC